TTTGTTTCAGCCACCGCTATATTGCCAAGTTCTAACGACTTTCATACTTTTGCTGCATATTCTTGTTGGTACATCCCTACTCCCTCTCTCATAACGATTTGAAGTCAATACAACAACAATAAAAAAACCAGCAGAAAAAAATGTAAATTAAGGCAGATGTTACAGTTTTGCACTCATACATTTTTAAGAACTTTTTAACAATTTTCACGAAAAAAAGAACTACTAACACAATGTTCAGTACTCTTTTGCTTGTTTCAGGTCCTGGATACGATTTGGCATACCTTATTTGTATCTCTGTAAAAATTCTGGAAGTATATCCTTAGTTTGCTTTCACAGCTCATATACTCGATTTTACGGACTTGGATACTTAGTAAGCTGTGCTTTTAGTAAGTGTTAAACCATGTTACAGTTTTGCTCGTCACTGTACATACGTATATAACAAACACGCTATATATTACAGTATGTATGTATGTAGGAAGATGTGTCAGCTGCAAAGCGATAAGCAAGTCGTGAAGTGATTTGTAGCTTATTCTCACTTCGAATTTATTTTGTTTTTTGTTATTTTTTGTGGTACAAAAAGGTAGTATTGATTTGAAAATTTTGTATGGGGTCACGAGCCCATTCGGCAAAACGGTTAAAAGCATGTTCCCATTATCGTAATTTACGGCTCATTCGTAATTTATAAGCAAATCATGCTGAAATTAAGTAATTTCGCCTTGTAAAATCTGTCAGTAAATTAAATAGAAATGAGATAATTTCTTATAAATCAAGAACCAAACGAAGAAAAAATTTCTTATCATTTGTTGTAATAAAAAAAACGCCGAAGGGTATGCATCCATTTTAATTGAAATCAAGTACAAGCCACACACTCGTCCGTACATATGCTAATGAAATGTATATAGAAATCGTGAAATCAAGTCTGAACGCTTTTGTTTTATGTGAAGTAATTTGGCCGAAAAAAAGAAATTTATACTGTAATATGAACATATTTTTACACCATTGAATTCAGCGAACCCAAATTATCTAGAAATTACATATCTCCCGTCTGTCGGACTTTTCAATTAAAACAGTGTAATATCTAGTTCGTTCTGCATCCCTTTTTCTATACATAGTTCCGAATCACATCTAAATTCGTCACCTTAGGTATATGTATGTATGTAGGTTTCTAAAGAATTTTTTTTTTTATTATTTTATTGCTATTAGGCCCTATAAATAAAAATAAGCAATTGCTTTTCCTTAAAATTGAAAACCTTTTACTTAAATTTGTTTGAATAAATCGAGTAAACAGCCTGAAATTTTAAAAAAAGCAATTGTTTTTTTTTTTTTTATTCATGCGGCCCATGCCACTGTTTTAAACTTAACAAAATTGTATATTAATGAACAGAAACGGTTAGAAATAAAAAAGGTAGTTCAATCTTTTAAAAAACGATCCCTTTTAAATTTTTCTTGCTTCTTGCATTGAAATATAATTTTATAGTTTTTTTAAAGTACCACATTTCGCTGATTTTGTTCTGGGCCCTAGATTCTATCGGATTAGTTCTTTTTTGGCAATAAAGATCTAGCACAGAACTAGAAATTTGATTCACTAGTTCGCGGTTTCCCTGCAGGGTATGTATGTACATACATAACAAACAAGCTATAAATTACAGTATGTATGTATGTACGAACATGTGTCAGCTGCAAAGAGATAAGCAGCCGTGAAGTGATTTGTAGCTCATTCTCACTTCTAAGACTAAGAACCCGGTTCCAAACTTTCAAGATCTCATTCTGTAGATGTGATTTATTCACTCGAGGAAAACAGATATTTGAATAAAATCCTCCTTTAATCAAGGATACTTTACAACGAAAAATAGCGATAATTACTTCGAATACATTGTAAACAAAATATATTTGGTGCGAAACGTACAACTATGTTCACACTACAGCATGATTTGCTCGATTTCGTTTAAATTACTTGGTAACTTGAAAAGTATTTGAATAATTCAAACGAAATGCGTTTTACATACATACATATATATTTGAAATATTTTCGTAAGCAATATTTTCAGTAAAATGTATTTTCACTGCCATTAACGATGATGATCTCAAATCCAAATTTTCGAGATAATCGCCTCCAAATTTGCCGAATTTCGCTTCATTGCTTCTTTGCCATCTAAATCGCATTCCTCAGGCCTTATGCTTGACTAATGCCTGAACAATTTATTTTTTTTTTTTATCGGACGACGATGAACTCCTTTTTGCATTGTTCTCTCTTAAAACAAATATAATAGTGAAAGAATCTGTTTCTTCAAACGGCTTCGAAACTTGACGCTGACTGGGCACAAAAATCCTCGAATTGTGTCTTCAGATATATCAACGATACATTTCTTCAAAACTGTTTTAGCTTTGCACACCGATAAGCCAGCTTTTCATAACAAAGAAATCAATGATATTTTTCTTTCAAGACACCTCCTACAATGAAACTAATTTTCGAACACCTTCGACTTCTTGCATTTTTCAGCAGATGCTCGTGACATTTTTACGGAGGTTTACTTAACACACACATTTTATGTACATCTATTACAAACACCAATTAAATAAAGTTGTTCATGGCATACATTTTTTATTTGAAATATACGTTTGCAACATTTATTGGACCATAATTTCTATTGAAGCAAAATACAAGATTATTTTTTACGCCTATTCAAACACATTTAAATTGGGCTAATTAAGCTATAAATTACATAAAACATACATACAAATGCAGAAAAAGCATTGGGAGCAAATGCAATTGAGAGCAATAAAGAGCAACTTTCAACAAATTTTTTCAATTAATAATGCAATTTAATACTATTGTAAAGCAATGCTTCCTCCTTTTCTAAATAGCAACAATTTGCACAATATTTTGCTTACAAAAGCAGTCACGCTACACTAAAGCTTGCGCAATATAACTTTTTCGATTATATAGTTAAACAATCAATATTTTTAAGTGTGTATAGTGTATATTTTGGTTATAAATTTAAGCAGATTTTAATTTATAAATTCATAATTTTCTCAATTTGTATTGAATTTGTGGCTGCTTTGCTCTGCTGCCTCTAATGCATCTATAGCTGCTGCAGTTTATTGTCATTATGTTAATTGTCTGGCGCATATGCAAGTTTTTATGCGCATGTTTTTAATACAAATGTAGATAGATACATACATACAAACATATGCTATTGTTGTATAGTAAGAGTTGGCAGAAAATTGGTCAGTTCCTCAAAACTCAACATCTACAAAGAGATAATCACATTATTTTTAACTCTTTTCGTTTAATACAATTTTTTACTAAAAAAGAATGTTAAGCTTTATAATCAATACTCATGACATAAATATTTTTTTCTATAAATAAAATCACTTTTTTATAAGCGTTTGCTATTAATTTATAAACACAACTTTAATTAATGTCTATGTATATTTCTTTTTTGCTCTGTTTTAACAAATCTTTTTGCATTATATTCTTAAGCATATTGGTTTCTGTTTGCATATATTTTTGAGTTGACATGGCTTTGCTGTATTTGTATGAGCGCTTAATTAGCGCACCCTCTTGTGTACCTTGTGTACTATACATATGTACATATATTTTTATTTGTATACATGTAAATAACACCATTTTTCAACAACAATCTCAAAGTGTGCATAATTTGAACGAGTATTTAGTACATGAAGTTTATTTACGGACAGAACTCGATAAAATGCAATTCCATTACATTTATAATACATAGAGTTAGTTGTGAATGTAGTTCAGTTCGATGTTGCTAGTTTACTTTAAAATTCCAGCTTTAGATAGTTTGCCTTTTGGTGCTAATTATATCTACAATCATCTTTTGACTTCATATATATAGTAAAACTAAATTATCTGCAAGTTTAACTTGTGTGCGTTTAATCCTTATTTTTAAGACCTAGCATTGCTTCTGCGACGCCCAGGAAGTAAACCATCTGCGCAATGCCAAAGAGTGGCGCGATCACAATCATTCGGCAGAGCCCGCCCTTGAAAAATGCAGTCGGACCTTCGTACTTGAATGTTTTACTAAACAAAGAAAAAATATAATTTACTTATTTAAATTAAACAAAATAAAAGCATACTCCTTGCAATTACTCACCTAACACAATCGACGATGCCCTTGAACTCTTTCTCGCCATCCGCTTTCTTAATAGCCTGCAAACGCGTCTTCACCACATCCAACGGATTGACAAAGAGCGCAGCAAATGAACCAGCTGCCAAACCAGACAGGAAGGAACACCTATGAATAACAAGATACTCTTGTGTCAAGTTTCTATCGTCTTAATTGTTAAATTCGCACTTCGCATACATACCAGAATACTGCCTCTCCAGAACCATCATTTCTGCGTGGCCCCAGCGCATTTAACGTAGCAAATAGTGGGAAATAAACAATGGAAAATGTTACATCGCGCGCGCCAGTTGCCCCGATACCCTTATATAGACCGAAAATACCCTTCTCCTTGATTAACTGTGAGGCTAATTTAGTTGCCGAAACTTTTTCGACTGTTTTGCCAGCTAATTTAGCCTGCGCTGCAATTCGACCCGCGTCTTGCATTTGAATCTTTAATAACTCCATAGGAGTAGTAACAATAATTTGGAATGCACCAGCTAAACCACCTGCCAACATTTGACTGGTCATCGGCAATTGACCATCCTTGGTGGTCAACTTGTGACGAAAGTAATCGTTGGCAGTCAGCTTGATCGCTTTTTCAGGTGTGATGAGTAATATGTTGACACCCGAACCACGATACATACCGAAGTAGCCCTCGGCGTGATATGTCTTGCGAAAGCAGTCGAACCTGGAGAAAGAGTTGAGAATATTTACTTTGTTTTTTTAAGCATTGCGGAAACATTTATCGTAGTGAGACTTACATGTTTTTATACATTTTTTCGCCATTTGGGCCAACTTGTTGATTTTGTAAACGGGTTTTGACCAAATCCAGCGGGAAGACACAAGAGACACCAATGATGCCGGCGATGCCACCATTGATTATTTTCGGTAGCAAGCTGTTAGAGGAGTTACGACATATATTAGACACATAAGTTAGTCATTAAATAAATTTGTGTGATGTGAGGTGCATCATATACATATGAAAATCGATCGATGATGTACAATAAGTTTACATGCCAGATAAGAATCTTAAATGCTAAGATGCTTAATGTCAAAATATGTACATATGTATCTATGTATGGTACTAAATTAGGGTGCCTCTCCAAAAAAATTGCGGAGTTCCCACCGGAATTATAAAATGTATTATATTATAAGACTATCTGCTAAAGTATTTCGCAAACATTTTAAGATTTACGTCAGCTATGCCGATATGAAAATATCTGAGAAGATCGAATTTTTTATCAAAAAAATAAAATTGTCGGCCGCTGGGGTGTAGTGGTAAGCAG